TGGAGAGAGAGAAAAACCCCTCAAATGCGAGAAGTCTCTTAGACACGTATATACAAAATGGATTTTTGGTATTCTTTGCGCATTTTAACACATTACAGGAACCGTTTGTGTGGTTTATGGTTTATTCCCATCCAAACTAAACTTAATAACACAAGATTTTATTTATTTATTATTGTTCAACTACAGATGTGGACGTAACCATATCATGAGAAGACAAGTACGCTAAACTAAAATAAAAAACAAGGAATTTTTTGACATCTCCCAATTTTTAGAAAACAAGTACACTACTCCAAAAACTAACTAGTCCAACTAGAACAAAGAATTTCACATTAGAATATTCATAGTTCACAAAGACATGGTCAGTGTGACCGGAACACGGAATGGTACACTACGTGTCATTATATAAGTGGTGAGATATGTGTGTTAAAAAGTTAATAACTTAAAAAATAAAAGGGTAAAGTACACAAAACTACCTCAACTATTGGGGTAACGACAGTTTCATACCCCATCTTTTAAAATTGACAATGTCATACCGCATCTTACGAATTTGTGACAATGTCATACCTCCGTCAATTTTTCTGTTAAATGCTGACATGACAAGAGACGGGGACCACTTTCTATTAAAAAATTAATAAAATATTATTAAAAACTAAAAAAAATATTTAATATTTTTTAAATATTAAAATAATAAATAAAAGTAAAATTAAAAAAAAAGGGTAAAGTACAAAAAACTACCTCAACTATTGGGGTCCCAACAGTTTCATACCTCATCTTTTAAAATTGACAATGTTATACCGCATCTTACGAATTTGTGACAATGTCATACCTCCGTCAAATTTTTTGTTAGTTTTTTTGTTAAGTGATCACGTGGCTTGATTCGGAACATACTTTCTATTAAAAAATTATTAAAAACTAAAAAAAAATTATTTAATATTTTTTAAATATTAAAATAATAATAAAAAGTAGAGAAAAAAAAAAACCATCAGTTCGTCCCTCCCCTCCCCCTCCCCCTTCCTCTCTCTTCTCCCCATCTTCATTTTCTTCCCCCCACCTGCAAACCCAAAAAAATAAAAAAAATAAAAAAATTTTGAAAATCCAACAACCCCCCTGCGGAAGAACAAGAAGAAGAAGGAGGAGGAGGAGGAGGAGGAAGAAGAAGAAGAAGAGGAAAAAAAGGAGGAAGGAAAAAAAAAAAAATTCCCCCCTGTTGGCGTGGAAGAAGAAGAAGAAGAGGAAGAAAAAATAAAAAAAAATTTGAAAACCCATCAACACACCCTTGCAGAAGAAGAAGAAGGAGAAGGAGAAAGAGAAGGAGGAAGAAGAAGAAGAAGAAGAGTAAAAAAAGGAGGAAGGAATTTTTTTTTTTTTTTTTAAATTTTTAAAACCATCAACTCCCATGCGGAAGAAGAAGAAGAAGAAGAAGAGGAAAAAAAGAAGGAAAAAAAAAAAAATTTTGAAAACCCATCAAACCCCAAATCCACCACTTTCATCCATTCTCCACATCCTCTTCCGCACCCATCGTCCACCTTCTCTGCTCACCCATCTTCCCGCCGACGGGATCTGGGTTTTTTTTTTTTTTTTTCTTCTAGGTTGCAGGAGGGAGAAGAGTGTGGGTGTGGGTGTGGGGGGAAGACAAATTGGATATTTTTTTTTTTTTTTTTTTTGTTGGGATTTGCAGGTGGGGGAAGAAGATGAAGATGGGGAGAGGAGAGAGGAGGGAGGAGGGGGGAGGGGAGGGACGAAATGAGGGTTTTTTTTTTTTTTTTTTTTTTTTTTTTTTTTTTCTGCTTTTTATTATTATTTTAATATTTTAAAAAATATTAAATAATTGTTTTTTAGTTTTTAATAATTTTTTAATGGAAAGTAGGTCTCGAATCAAGCCACGTTAGCACTTAACAGAAAACCTAACAGAAAAATTGACGGAGGTATGACATTATCACAAATTCGTAAGATGCGGTATGACATTGTCAATTTTAAAAGATGAGGTATGAAACTGTCGTGATTCCAATAGTTGAGGTAGTTTTTTGTACTTTACCCTTTTTTTTTTAATTTTACTTTTATTTATTATTTTAATATTTAAAAAATATTAAATATTTTTTTAATTTTTAATAATTTTTTAATAGAAAGTGGTCCCCGTCTCTTGCCACGTCAGCATTTAACAGAAAAACTAACAAAAAAATTGACGGAGGTATGACATTATCACAAATTCGTAAGATGCGGTATGACATTGTCAATTTTAAAAGATGAGGTATGAAACTGTCGTGATCCTAATAGTTGAGGTAGTTTTTTGTACTTTATCCAAAATAAAATTTACAACCACTTGTATAAAAGCACATGACGTACCATCCGTATTCCGATCACAATAAAAAATTTCTCGTAATGGCAGCTACTGATCAATATTAAATATCAAGTATAACAAGATTTCAATGTGAAGGTTAAGTTGTAGACGTATAAATATATGAATTTACCCTTAAATAGTTGATTTTGAATGCATACAGTATGGTTTAAATTCTACCTTTTCTGCTAATTTTTTTGTGCAGCCATGGATACCAACCCAATCTCGTTGTTCGAGTTCTCCATTATTTTATTACGTGTATTTCTCAAGTCTCGTATCTCCGTTGCAGCTGACACCATCAGCGAAAACAATTCTCTAACCAGTGATCAACCATTGTTTCTTCAGGTGGGATCTTCGAGCTAGGTTTCTTCAAACCAGGTTAGCTTTCAAACTACTATATAGGCATATGGTACTCCAAGCACATAGTTACTGAGAGGACTATTGTTTGGGTGGCAAACAGGGACATACATGTCTCCGATATGGCCATTTCTCTGAGAAATTAGATGTATTCAGTTTCAGAGTGTTGTTGTTGGAGATTATAAGTAGAAAGAAGAATGCTGCTTTTTATTGCTTTGAAAGTTCAGCAACTCTTGCTGGATGGGTAAGTACTAAAACATTATTCTAACTTATTCTCATTCTGTGTTTAACTCTTGTAAATTTATGAGTAATCTATATATATATATATTGAATTTAAATTAGGCATGGGAGTTGTGGAAAGAAGGAATAGGAAATGAGGTGATTGATGGATCAATAGGGGAAACATGCCGGCCTGATCCATGTAGGGTTTTTGTGCGTTCAAGAAGCGCCAAATGATCGACTAACAATGTCTTCAGTAGTTCATATTCTGCAGGGCAATGAAGCTACACCTCTTTCACTTTCCAAAAAAACATGCGTTTTCTACACATGAATCTTGGTGCTGTTGGTTTTCTCCTCGAACACCTATCAATTTTTCCCATAATTCAGTCACCATGAGTTTGCCAGAAGGTTGATAAGGGTTGCATGAGTAGTGACTGGAAAGCAAATAAGAAAATAGTACAGTAAATTAGAGAAAAACACCACGACAAACTATAACACTATGTTTGGATAAGAGAAATAAACTTGGAATTTGGATTAAAGTCAAACTTTATAAATTGACATGCACCAATTCTCTTGTTTGGATTCATAAACATACAAAATTTAGAATTTCTGCGTGAAAAAAAACTTGGAATTTGGGACCTCCAATTCCCAAGTTTAAATTCCACGTAAATAAGTGTTATTTCTCAATTTCTATGATTGAAAGTTTAAAAATAACAAATTATGTATTCAATTCCATTGTTCTTTTAGGTTAACCAAACAAGAAAATTCACAAATTCTTGAAAATAAAATCCCGTCATTTTAAAATTCCTTAGTAATCTTAAATTTTTTCATCCAAACATAGTGTAAGTTTTAAACAAATGCTTTAAGCGTTCATTTTTGGGAGAGATTCAAGAGGTATTTGGAGAGGTCAAAGCACATGCTGGCACATGTCAACCCGTATTTGAAGAGGTCAAAGCACATTCTGGCACATGTAAATTATTAACCTTATTAGCTAGGTTCACTGTTGTGGCATAATGAGTGTTTGCATTTGCTTATGCGATTTGTTTACTATCACAATGTCAAACTTACTGCAGTAATATCTTGTTCTATCAATTCTTTTGAATGTGCGAGATGTCGAGCTTATTGTACCAAATATGTAGTTTATATATTCTATTGATTGAGAAAACGTGCATAGAATTAACTCAATTGTTTTTTGGTAAGTACAATATGAACACATTGTCACAGAATCATATGATACAATTCCCTTCATACCACTGAGGTTAAGAAAAAGACACAATGTCACAAACTCATAGAATACAATTTGATTAGTATGAGAGACAAATCTCACGATGTGAATAGTTACCCAACTATCTTAATTGCCGATCGACTGGCTACTCATGTCCTACAAAAGTTATTCATCATCAGAGAAAACCCTATTTGATTAGATGGTGAAAGCATTACAAATTAATTTGAGTAAATTGTAGCAATGGTTCTTCAACTAAAAATCCATTACTATTGGTCCCTCAACTTATCAAAATATGTAGCTATAGTCATTTTCATCAATTTCGTCAAAATTTTGTCAAAATAAGTTATGTTGGAATAACCATTTATATAATAAGGGTCCCTCAACTCATCAAAGTGTGTAATTATGGTCATTTTCGTCAATTACGTCAAAATTTTTGTCAAAACGAGTTATATTAGAAGGACCATTGCTACAATTGGGTTAAAGTTAAAGGACCATTTCTCCAGTTGAATTAAAGTTGAGGGACCAATGGTAATGGATTTTTAGTTAAGGGACCATTGCTCCAATTGAGTTAAAGTTAAGGGACCATAACTAAAATTTACTCAATAATTTACAACCTAGTCTTGGATTGTTGGCCAAGGTACACGTCTCCTAATTTCCCGGTTTGACGAGTCAACCTCAGACCCCAAAAAATAGTGAGTGTCTGTCTAACCTTAGACCTCGGACCTTCACTCACATACCCGACCATTAGAAACTGTCACACCCCAAGTTTTCGAATTCTTCTAAATCCAGAAATAATATATCCGCCATTGTAATTTTCTAACCTTTTCTTTCCCAGAAAGATTCAGAAACAATTTGAGTTTCAGAATGTGGGGACATTCTTTCTTTGAGACAGCCTCAAGGCTTTTCCATCAACGTTCCTCTCTATGCAAGATTCTCGTTGTTGTCACTGTGAGGTACTTGTTCAGTTATGAAACATACGTCTGTTCTTTATTTTAAAAAACAATTGATTGTCAATATTAGTATATTTTTCAGAATAATAATATGTATTCATTTTTTAATAAAGAACAGACGTCATGCACATGAAATTTCTCTCTTTAACACACATGTTTATACGAGCTTGCATAGTTTTTGTTTAGCTTTCTTTTGCAAGGATTTATGTATTTATTATTTATATCTTTTTTTGCCGATTATATATGGTAGATATAACATCTTTGGCATTTTATGTTAAATGAAACTCTACATATCATGATTTCTTCTAACTTGCATTGCATATATTTGCAGTGGGGGAGGCCTAGCAACATTTCATGAGAGCAAACCAGTCCATACTGTATATGCTGATTCGGCTCAGGAAGCCGAAACAAGCAAGAAAAAGAAGGTGGTAGTACTAGGAACCGGTTGGGCCGGAGTCAGTTTCTTGAAGAATTTGAGGAGTTCTTCTTATGATGTTGAAGTGGTGTCACCCAAAAATTATTTCATGTTCACGCCTTTGCTACCGAGTGTTACATGTGGCACGGTTGAAGCACGCAGCATTGTTGAACCAATTCGCAAGATTACTGATAAGGTATGTGCCTAGACATGTAATGTATATAAATTTTATGATCCGAATGATTGATTAATTGGATATGATGAGACAATTATGCTTAATTCTCTTTGGTTTCAATGATATGGCAGAAAGGTTTAGATGTTGAATTTAGGGAAGCAGAATGTTATCGAATTGATCCAAAGAATAAGAAAGTTCTCTGTCGATCAACCCAACACAGTAATTTGGGTTTGAAAGAAGCTGAGTTTAGTGTAGATTACGACTACCTGATCGTTGCAATGGGGGCCAAAACAAACACATTTAACACTCCTGGTGTTGAGCAATATGCTCATTTCTTGAAGGTAACTTAAATTTATTCTTCCTCCCATGTCCGATAAGTATTTTATAGGATGAAGAAATAGTAAGTGTTAATGTTAGGTTTGAGCTTTTGATTTGCAGGGAATAGAAGACGCTGTGAGGATCCGACAGACTGTGATTGACTGTTTTGAAAGGGCAAGTCTTCCTAGCGTAAGCGAAGAAGAGAAGAAGAAACTTCTGAGTTTTGTATGTGTTGGTGGCGGTCCAGCTGGTGTGGAGTTTGCTGCAGAGCTTCATGACTTTGTAAAAGAGGATTTAGCCAAATTATACCCTTCAGTTATAGACTACGTAAAAATTACTGTGATCGAAGCAAGCGATCATATTTTGAACATGTAAGGCATGCTTACAGGTTTTTGTATTAGGGTTTTACATGTTTAAAGATGCTAATTTAATTTTTACACACTTGGTTAATTTGGTGTTGCAGGTTTGACAAGAGAATTACTTCATTTGCTGAAGGGAAGTTCTTCCGAGACGGAATTGATGTAAAAACAGGTTCACTGGTCGTAAAATTAACTGATAAGGAAGTCTCCGCTAAAGATAGAGACACAGGAAAAATTTCAAATATACCTTATGGGATGGTTCTCTGGGCAACTGGTATCGGGCCACGCCCTGAGATTATTGATTTTATGAAGCAGATTGGTCAGGTTTGATACTAACTTGTGCTTGTTTCCAATTGTAGTCGAGAGCTTAACTTTGGATTTGATGCTTCAATTAATCAAATGATGTAATTTGTCTGCACAAAACAGACGAATCGGCGTGTTTTGGCTACGGATGAATGGCTGAGGGTGGAAGGATGTGACGGCGTGTATGCTTTAGGTGATTGTGCAACAGTAAATCAACGCCGCGTCGTGGTATCTATTTAATATTTTTCTGCTTATGCCATGCATTGTAGTGTGGTTGAAAGTGTCGATGCCTATATTGTTGTATGGTAGAATTTGCTGATTCTATGTATGATATTTTGTTGTCATTGCATACCAATTTATTGTCAGGATGATATTGTTTCGATATTCCAAAAGGCAGATAAAGACAACTCTGGTACATTAAGTCTAGAGGAATTTCAAGAAGTCATGGAGGACCTCATGGTCAGGTATCCTCAACTAAGCCTTCATTTGAAGAGCAAGCATATGAGGAATATTGATGAGTTGCTGGAAAATAGTTGGAAAAACCCGAAAGATGAAATCGATATTGAAACGTTTAAAGCAGCTCTTTCCCAAGCAGATTCGCAGATGAAAAATCTTCCAGCAACTGCCCAGGTTGACTCATTATATTCACTTCTTTTTCCATCACATCTCCTTATCCTCTAACTCATATTCCATTTCTTTAACTATTTTTGTTTTCGAAATTTTAATAATTTAGGTAGCTGCTCAACAAGGTGCCTACCTTGCCAACTGTTTCAATCGTATGGAGGAATGTGAGAAGTACCCTGAAGGTCCCCTCAAGTTCAGGGATGTTGGACGCCACCGCTTTCAACCCTTCAGGTGAAATTCTATCACCAATCCATCATACAACTGACTTTAATGTCGTGCTTAGTTACAATGCTATGCTACTAGGCTCATTGGCATGAACTTTTTATATGATTTACTTGAAGGTACAAACACTTTGGGATGTTTGCCCCACTGGGAGGAGAACAAACTGCAGCTCATCTTCCAGGAGATTGGGTCTCAATTGGCCACAGCACTCAGTGGCTCTGGTACTCAGTATATGCTAGGTAAATATCTGATGCACATTTGCTTTCACTCAGCTTAAATCTGGCATTAGCATATCGGTTTCTACTGAAAATTATTGGAATTTTTGCAGCAAGCTAGTGAGTTGGCGCACAAGGGTGCTGGTGGTTTCGGATTGGGGAAGGCGATCTATTTTTGGAAGGGACTCCAGTCGGATTTGAGACCAGATGGGAGCAAATATATCATCACACTGGAACTGTGTTTCCACCATTTGTCTTGCAATGTATTAGGTAGAGCATTGGTTCCATTTATTTCTTACTGTCAAACTTGTAACCGGATTGAAGTTATGATATTTGTACTACATATATGCAAAAAACACATTTGTATTTTGTATGCATCTAGTAGTTGTTTGTATGAACCAAGCCAAGACTAGAAATCTACAGTCTAAAGCTGAAGGAGCTAAGCGCTCAAATGGTTAACAACTTTTATTCCTTGCACCCGAGGTCCTAGATTCAATTCTCTCTTCTTCAATATTGGTTGTATTGAAAAAAAACTTTATAAATGATAGCTAAAAACATAAACCATGTCAACGAAAGAGATCAAAGTTGAAAATGAATAGAAGTCAACTTTTCTCAACCCGTCTCCTTTTTATAAAGATATAACATCTTATTTAGAAGTTCTTCTGTTCAAAAACCGAACTAGGGACAATGAGAGAGAGGGTGGGATCAATGAATGGGTAAGTGTAGGCCTAAAAACCAAGGGATAAGGTAGGTGTGATTTTTTATGTCTTGCCGTATAGTACAAGTGAACCGGGTGCCAGACCTTAGAATTTCTCCCTATCAAGAGCAGGGAAAATGATTATATACAACAAAATGGCAAAACTGGCCCAAAAAGAAAGAAGTGAAAAAAAAACCAAGAGAGAAGTGAAAAAACCAAGTGTGCCGGCTTGTTTAAAGCACTTCTATTAAAACCCGCGCAGCAGCCGCGCCTCAACGTTCTTCTCCCAAGTCCAGTGACTGACGACTGAGGCATTTCATCAAACACCTTACCTGCACTTTCGAACCCCCCACCCCATCCGCTATGAATATCCAGAGCATGCTATCTTCTTCCTCAAGGCACTTGCGATGCTACATAGCAGCAGCCGCAGCATCAGACCTACGCGCTCTCACTGTCCTCCCCAACTCCGCTCCAATTCGGCGCCCGAATCACAACCCCCCGCCATTCTCCACCTCAGTCGATCCGCCATTGTTTTCCACCGCAACCAGATTCATTAGCAGCTCTCGGACCTCTTCTTCCCTAGAGCAAGAGGCTACCCTGAATCAAATTCTTTCCTCCATACAAAACGCCGCCACATTACTCGAATCCTTGTACGAAAACCGCCTTTTCCTCAGCCCCAAATCGTTCAACCGCGTGCTGGTTGCGGCCGCAGCCGAAAGCAGCGCTCTTTCCTTCCTATCCCAGCTTCTTCAGCTCGCAATCGCGTCTTCTCAACCTTTAAATTCTGCTTGTTTTCTCACTGTCGCCAAAGCTTTCGCAAAGTCGGATGATTGCGCGGAGCTGCTCAGATTAACCAAGCAGGTAATGGAGCTCACCTCTCCCAGCATGACAGTCATAAACAGGATTCTCTTTGCTTTCGGCGAATGCGGAGAGACTGAGAAGGCGCTCCTGATCTTTTCCCAGATGAAAACTCTTGATTTCGTGCCTGATTTGTACACCCACAACACTGTTTTAGAGATTTTAGGATATGCCGGTAGGATTGATGAAATGCTGGGTCAGTTCGGGGTTATGAAAGAGACCGGCATTGTCCCGGATGTGGTTTCTTACAATACGGTGTTGAACAATTTGAGGAAGCTTGGGAAATTCGATGTGTGTATGTTTTACTTCAAGGAAATGGGTGAAAATGGTGTGGAGGCAGATTTGCTTACTTATACTGCAGTGATTGAGAGCCTGGGAAGATCAGGAAATGTTGAGGAGGCATTGAGATTCTTCGACGAGATGAAGGCGAGGCACATTTGTCCTTCCCTGTATGTTTATCGGTCACTGATCACGAACCTGAAGAAGATGGGGAAGGTGGACTTGGCATTGAGTTTAACAGAGGAGATGAATTCGTGTGATTCGGAGCTTGCTGGTCCAATGGATTTCAAACGTAATAAACGGTTGTAAGTAGTTCTAAGCTGGAGATACCATTTGGTTTTCGATTTGTAGGTCTCTTGTTATTGCCAATTGATGTAGTTGTATAGTGATTTAAATGTGCTATTCACTTTGTTTGCTCAGTTTCGAAATGATTTTTATCAAACATGATTCGAATTCAACAGTTTTCTTCGAGCAAAGTTGTTCTTATTTGCAGACTGATGATACTCGGATTACTAGTCCTATGGACTCCAAATGAAATATACACTTGTAAGTAGTTAGAAGCTGAAGTTATCTTTTGGTTTTTGGTTTCAAGGTCTCTTGCTATTGCCAATTGGTATATAGTTGTATACCAATTGGAATGATTTTGTATCAAGATTCAGATTTCGACACTTTTGTTCGAGTGAAATCGTTGTTATTAGCAGACATATCTTGCTAGGAAGCAAGAAAAATAGCTTCATCTATTATTATTGCATAGCAGAGAAACCAGAGACTTACAAACCCAATTGACCATTACAAAGTGCATACTTACTCCATAACAAGAGTTATGGCTAACTGAAAATCAAGTAAACTTTAGAACAAAAATTAACAAATTCAGTCGAGGTGAAGTTCCTCGACAATTCCACTTATTCTTCTTCAGCACCTTCTTCTGCAAAACTCAATTCATGGCAAACCTCCCCATTGGTGCTAAAGTAGGATTTCATCCCAACCAATTCAGCAGCCCTTTTGGCTGGCCCCGAACCCCTCGGAGTGTCAATACCACATTGGACTGTCTTAATTTTTGGAAGCACATCTCCTATCTCAGCAATAACTGAAGGTGACTTGTTATCCTCTGCTGCACTTTGGTACACCACTATCTCACTTGGAATCTCCCACCTCTTCTTCACCCGGCACTCCGGTCCTTGACTCCTGGATGTCTCACGGGCAATGCCACGCGGCTTTCCAACCAAGGAGACCCGCCTCTTGTCACCTCTCTTACTGTCATCCTTATCATCCTCAGGCCAAGACCGCTTCCGACCATCACTCACTGCCGAATTCCCAATCTGATTGTACCTACTAGGCACAACCCTCCCAGGCTTGAATGGTGTTTTCTTAGCAGGCACAGACTTCTCGGCTCCGTCTTTAAAAAGCTTCTTGGGTCCAATTGATGCAAGAACCTTGTCTTGCTTCTTCATAGGCCTTTTGGACCCTCCAACAGTAGTTGCAGCCTGTTTCGGACCTTGAACCTTGGACACAGTTTTCCTCGATTTCGGACTCAAACTCAAACTCTTGCCCCTCTCTTTCGTAGCCCTCAATTCATCGATGTCCTGAAGCTTCCAAAAGCACGATTTCCTGCGACTCTGCGTTGCCTGAACAGGGGTGATCTCGAACTTACTCGGCCTCTGAAATCCGGCTCCAGCTACAATCTCAGACGGCCCCAAACTCATTCCTCTCCGATTAACCTTCGACCTCACACTCATCATCATAGACTCAATCTTTTTCAACCCATCCAAATTCTTCACACTTTGTTTCTGCTCCATGAACTTCGCCGCCACAACCCTTCCACGCTTCTCTACCGCCTTCTCGTTTCTCTCAGCCTTTTCAAGTTTAAGCGCTTCAAGCCTCGAATTCAATCTACTAATCTCCTTCTCAATCTCTTCAATCTCCGCATCGATCTTCCCCTCATCTCGAACTCTCTCTTCTCCTTCTTCAACCTCTGCAAGACCCTTCTTCTTCGCAACCGCCGAGAAGGGATCAAGATTCGTATTTGTGTCCAGCGGCTTGAAGGGCACCGAAGATTTGACGCAGACAGGGGTTTTCAGAATAGCGGGGCTCAGATTCTCTTTGCTGCAACCCGATTCAAACGACTCGGAAGAGCAATTCAGCGAAAGGGGTTGGAGTATATCGGACCAGGAAGCCTTCACGACGGAGGAGCCGCCTTCGGAGTCTTCGTTGTCGAAGGCGGCGTTGTTCCACACCTGAAGGTCTGGTGCGGTAATGGCGTCTTGGTATTCAACTACACTCATTTTCGCTCACTGGGTTCGAAGCTCAAACGATTTTAGGGGTAGATGGAAAGATTGTATGATGGGGTTTTGTACTGTAACTGCTGATTTGTGATTCTTGGATGTGAGAGAGAGAGAGAGAGAGAGAGAGAGGCGATCTTTATTTTTTTTGTATTTTGAGATTTTTGACCGTTGGGAAGAAATTTAGACGTTGGGGCCAGCCTGAGGCTCCATGGAATCGTAGCCGTCGGATGCTAAACGGCTCCTATAGACGCTCCGATTTGAGTTAAAGTTTTTTGTTTTTAATGAGATTTGAAGTATTTTTGCTCTTGTTTTTTTTGGACATATTTGTTTTTACCTTTTACGTTTATATTTTTTGGTTCAGAGGTTTTTATTACGTAGGGCAGTGCCCAATTTCTCAGAAAATATAATTTTGTTTTTTTCAAACACTAAATTGGGCGATTTTGGGAAACCCAATTTCTGAATATTTAAAAATTGAAAACTGAAGAGAATATATAATTCATGACATCACATGGTAAAATCCTCGTTTTTCAACATTATATTGTACGGAGAAGTCTTGTTCAGTAGCTCGGACATGACATGAGTATCGTAAGGGTGATGTCACCTCTAACAATTTTTTTTTTTCTATTAAGATTAGACATCTTTCATATTTGGTGCTCTTAACCATGTGAGGACTAGATTCATTAAAATTGACAGTTGTGCGACCTATTAGTATAAGCAAATCTCAATCATGTCCTCGCCCGCCCCACCCAAAGAGGCAAGACCATGATCCTAATTTTTCATGGTATAAAGTTGTATTTCAATTTTTTTTTTCAATTAATTTGGTTTTTTTTTTATGGAATTAATTTGGTAATATTGAAAATTTTGGAACAGTTCCTTCAGGATTACAAGCATTACGGGTGGAATATGACTCTTCCCTTCACCACGGAACTAATAATGGAGAATGATAATTCAACTTATTTACGACTATACCAAAAATAATTGGCTGACAAATTTCCAACTGAGAAAAAATAAATATGCCAGCTTTCTTGCATCAATATATGAATAGGAAGGCTCCGATTAGAGAGATAGAGACATGGGGCTCAACAAACACACACGAACACTATGCTCATAATTGAGATCGCTGACCATTTCATATGTGATTGACTTTCCGCGATGCTCTTTTGGAGCGACATACCAAACCAGCGATCGATGACACTTTCCAAGAAAAAAAAAAATTCCCCGTGTGTTGGGTGTCCAAAGGTCATGACTCAGCCCCAACCCAATCATCTAGCCGCAGCTCACTCAACCCACTTCCAATCTTTCTCTATGAACAAAGGGTCAAAGTCGAATCCCTAAATCGTTTGCCTTGTCAAATGACAACTCTTGTGACTGTAAGTTGGAAACTTTCCTGTATCTTCTTCTTCCTCCTCTATTATTCTTCTCTTCTTTCTTCTTCTGTAACGTAAGTTCTCTTTATATGTATTTTCACCAATATGTACGTATATTTGTATGTGTTTATATACATGTTGAATCCAACTATCCGAACTTCTATTTTTTAAGATGCACTTAATAGATTATCCTTGCAAAATAGTAGACACATAGGAAATGTTTGAGGTGTCTAATTGAGTTCAAAAAAATTAACGAACACTGTATATATATTAGCGTTTCGTATAAATTTTATCTAGGCTCTGATCATCATCAGCACTGACTTGAGGGGCGTTTTTTTTTTATATTCTCATCAGGTAATGAACCCTTTAACCCTCACCAGAGCTTTTATAGTGGGAGAAAAGAAAGCACACGATGAGCAAAAGTGCAGTGCTGACAGAACCAGCAATCTTCCAAACGATATTTTGTACCAAATACTCTCCTTGTTACCCGTCAAATACACAGCACGAACCAGTGTTTTATCTAGAAGATGGAGATATCTATGGACTTGCGTTCCCGTCCTCGACTTCTGTGCGGGCTTCACATCTGAGGTCGATGATACAAAACGGATGCAGTTCATAACCACTGTTTTGACTCGTCGTCAAGAAAACTCCAACATAAAGGTTTTTCGCATTGGGAGTGAAGAATCTAGAGATGCGAGTTTTCAATTTTTACATGACTGCATCTGCTGGGTTGTGCAGCATAATCAGGTTGAAGAAATTGTACTCTATCTGAAGATCGTAAATGGCAGGTTTGATTTGCCTCTTTGTGTATGTGAGAGTGATTCATTGAGGAGTCTCACACTGGCAGCCACTAGCGGTTTTTCCTTTCTCCGTGTTAGGATGGCTACTACTACTATTGGTCTCCGTTCACTTCACACCTTGTCTTTAATTCGTGTGAACTTCTTGGATAATAGGGATTTGGTTATGGATTTCTTTTCTGATTCAACATTCCCTTTCCTTGAGAAATTGACCATTTTAATATGTAGAGGAATACGTGATCTCAAAATAAGTTGTTCGCGCCTTGAATATGTACGAGTGTTCCGAACAGATTTATTTAGGCTGCACATATGTGGAATGAGACTAAAGAATTTGGACGTCGTGGGCTGTTTCGTCAATGCAACTCAAAGTTTCGTCGACATATTTGCTCCAAGTCTGCAGACGTTTCGTTGGAAACATAATTACCTTACAACTGGGAAATATTTGAACCAAATCTCTCCTACCATGAGAACATCTGACGTAAATTTTTTGGTCCAGGGCAATGATATTAGCATGGCGATGACTTGTGTCGCAGTCAATCTTTTGTGCGGATTATCCCATGTTCAACAACTTTTCCTCAGCATCGACGCTCTCCAGGTTCATTTCCTCATCTGTTTTCTTGTCGACTACTTTGAAGCTCTTTAGACTTTTAATTTCATAAAATGAGATATATATTAGACTAGAGAAATTGTGTTAAGTGATGATATCATCTACTTGTATGCATTTTCTGAATTGTTTAATTGATATATGGCTTATTTAACCATATCCAGGTTTTATCCAGAATATATTTCGAAGATGGTCTACCAAATTCATTTGTGAAACTTCAGACGTTAGAAATTCAAACTGAGGGATTTGGCAAACGTGAGATCCCAGGTCTAACGTGCCTGCTCAAGAGCTCTCCCATACTCCATACTCTCAAAATCGACATATCCAATGGCAGCGACCAGAATGATGTAAGTTTTTGCCTACTTTGGTGTACTGTATATTAGTAAGTTTACTAATATATAACTAATACGGTTTAAGGTTACACTGTGAACTTTATAGAGTTTTGAATATATAACTAATAACGATTAATGACATATTTTATAATTTTGTTGCAGGTATGGAACAACAGTTTGTTGGACATTACTAAATGCACTGAAGAACAATACTGGGAAAGTCAAGCTCAGGTTTTGAGTCCCTCCCTGTGTCATCTAAGGGTGGTGAAGATCGTTGTTGCCAGTTATCCTATGAATCTTATGATCCCCGAGAGTGTGATTAGCGTTGTGAGGGTTTTACTTCAACATGGAGGAGGATTGCAAGACATGGTTCTTGGTTCTTATCACCCGACATATTTCCGAGATCCTTGGAAGGATACAATTGGTTTAATAGAGGGATTTCCGCGAGCATCTGCCAAAGTCAAAATCTCAATCGTTTTGCTTGCTGACTGATTGTTTTTCAATGCGCATGGATCCATGTAGATGATGAAGCTATTAGCTGGTTCTTCATGTTTAATATGTGATCAAAACGAAAATGTAACTAAAAACATCTCCCTTGTATGCAAATTGAATACAAACAAAAATGTAACTAAAAACATCTCCCATGTATGAAAATGTAACTAAAAACATCTCCCATGTTTGAAGAATATTTGTGTTATCCCTCTCCAATTTGGTTTGATTCTTCAATTTTGAAATTAGTGATTTATTGTTTCGAATTAGGATTTCAATTGTTGCTTTTATAATTCAAATTTATTATCCATTCCCCCCAAAAAAATGATAATTCTTTCCTACTATTTTATTCGAGTTGTGCTCACACCATGCGGAGTCCATACGAAAAAGTTGCAAAATTGCACGCGGAACTCCAATTATTAATGTGTCGTGGGGCCACGCTACTGACACTGTATCCTCTTTACTTAACAAGTCCTAATTCTGATATCCTTCAAACACCAAGATGAACACGTGCCGACATCCGAGGGTGACGAAATCATTTTAACATGCATGCAAGTTATGAAGAAAGAACAAACGGAAATAAAATATGTAAATTTAAAATATATTGAGATATGAAATGCGGGAATGTGTTTAGAGTATACAACTAATCAAGAATACTACGAAAGAAATATTATATAACAATGAGATTACAAAGAAAAGGGGGTCCTACATCGAAAGGACTTGAAGGTACCACCAATACGGGAATGCCTCAACACCGAGATCGTACACCTCGTTTTTAAGTCTTAAAGGGGGTGCAAAACAAAACGTGAGTGGACCAATGTTTATAGTAATAATAATAATAAGAAAACCGTTTTTCCCTTTTGAACATACTATGTCACATCCCGGCCCGGGGGGGACCACTTCCTGGGCCAGCTCCACCACCGTAGCACGATATTGTCCGCTTTGGGCCCCGACCAGGCCCTCACGGTTTTGTTTTTGGGAACTCACGAGCAACTTCCCAGTGGGTCACCCATCATGGGATTGCTCAAGCCCCCTTCTCGCTTAACTTCGGAGTTCCTACGGAACCCGAAGCCAGTGAGCTCCCAAAAGGCCTTGTGCTAGGTAGGGATGAGAATATACATATAAGGATCACTCCCCTGGGCGATGTAGGATGTTACCACCGTAGCACGATATTGTCCGCTTTGGGCCCCGACCAGGCCCTCACGGTTTTGTTTTTAGGAACTCACGAGCAACTTCCCAGTGGGTCACCCATCATGGGATTGCTCAAGCCCCCTCTTCGCTTAACTTCGGAGTTCCTACGGAACCCGAAGCCAGTGAGCTCCCAAAAGGCCTCGTGCTAGGTAGGGATGGGAATATACATATAAGGATCACTCCCCTGTGCGATGTGGGATGTTACAATCCACCCCCCTTAGGGGCCCAACGTCCTCGTCGGCACACACACAGCCAGGGTTAGGCTCTGATACCAAATTGTCACATCCCGGCCCAGGGGGAACCACTTCCCGGGCCCGCTCCACCACCGTAGCACGATATTGTCCGCTTTGGGCCCCGACCACACCTTCACGGTTTTATTTTTGGGAACTCACACGAGAACTTCCCGATGGGTCACCCATCCTGGGAATGCTCTCGCGCGCTACTCGCTTAACTTCGGAGTTCCCATGAAACCCGAAGCCAGTGAGCTCCCAAAAGGCCTCGTGCTAGGTAGGGATAGGAATATACATATAAGGATCACTCCCCTGGGCGATGTGGGATGTTACATACTAACCCTATGTTTTGAAAACACATATAATACTATATAATAGGTTTTTTGAAAACCCTCACATGCCATGAAAACGTTCGTAAAACATGTACGTATAAACCAGTGCTCGGTAATGGTAATATAGTTACTCAAAGGCAAATCCATAAAACATTCATAAATCATAAAACAGTGTACTTAACTAGGGGTATCATAGTCGCCCGAATTCATTCCATCATCCGAGGATGAAGCTGTACAACACTGGGTTACGACAGTGAAGAAACATGGTAGGTCCCATCACCTGAAGATGAAGCTGTACGACTCTGGATTACGTCAAAGAAGAAAAAGTGCATAACACACTGACATTAGCCATGGCTAGTGAAGCTGTCCGACACTAGTTTCGCCAGTGAAGCTGGGAGTATGTCATAAAATATCTCACTACTCATCAAACTGTGTCCCATGGCCATAGGCATATACATACTCGTGTTGTGTGTATGTGTTGTATGATTACCCACTAAATAAGTACCAGAAACATAAATCATATCTCTTGTATCAAATCATCGGAGCTCAAAAGCTCAAGCATCATATCATAAATCATATTTGTAAATCCATCATATATCGTAAAGTATAAAAAGTCATGGTTCGCAAATCTTTCTAAACGTAAATTCAATAATCATAAACATTTCATAAAATGTAAGTTTGATAAATCATAAATATATCTCATGAAGCGTAAAATCAAGAAATCATGCTTTTCATGAATGCAATCCTAATATTTTGATATAAACATGCAATTTGAGAAGGGGTCCACTCATAGATAATCTGTCGCTGAAGAGTCATGCAAACTAAGGAGGACAAGGTCGTCCTTAACAAATGCACCTAAGCACATAAAATGACCAATTAGTAAAACCTAAAACCTTACTAAAACAATTGAATTTGGGAAAATGGAGCCCGAATTTGGAATCAGGGCGTTGAAATTAGTCTAGGAGGGGTCATGGTCGAAACCCGAAAAAAAATTCAACAAAAGTCAACATTGACGACCAACTAGTCAATTGTCAACGCTGACCGAGAAGTCAACGGCTGACTCACTCAAGCCAAGCTGCCAAAGCTGAGTCGAGCTAACCTAAGCTGCCGGAGCTCACACCAGAATTTGGAATTTTTGGTCGAAAATTTGGGCAAATTTCGAAGCTTCGTAACTTCATTGTTTCTTAACCAAATTCAACCCATAATATATCAAAACGACGATAGGAAAGTGTAGAACAAGATTATACCTATTTGGAAGCTCAATGGTGGCTAGAGACGACCAGAAAATAGCTTGAAAGGTGACAAGTCCACATGAAAACTGGGTTCTTCGTTGAAAACTGGAAAAACTTTAAACATCCATAACTTCGTCAATACTCAACGAAATTGAATGATTCAAAAGCGCAAAATCATACCTCGAAAGGGGACAAAAAGATTGGTACACTTTTCAATGGCTAACTCGTTATGGTTTTGTTGAAAAATGGCTCGAAAGCGGCGGAGGTCGCCAGAAACTAAGGGTAAATTTTAAACGTTCAGAATTTCTTCAATTCTTAACCAAAATCGACGATCTTTATATGGAAATGAAGCTTAAAATGAGGAGAACACATCCATACCAATTTAGACCGAGTGGTGGCCAGAGTTGGTTGGAAAACGCCAGCAAAGTTTGCAATTTTCGCTGAAAAACTGGGGAAGTCTTTCCTTGAGGCATTTATGGTCTCAAAGCCACCAAAACTTATTAAAAACCTTCTAATCGTATCCCTAGACATGGTCAACTAAGTTATGGACTTAGGGCTTACATTCCTGGATACGGTAGGAACTCACAAGGAAATTTTGTGCACAGTGGCTGCACAATACATCACGATGGAGGTATTTCTGAGGGTTTTTTCGTCGTTCCTGGTCTGAGGGTCTTGCAGAGGCACGAGGATGATGATGATGGAATTTTCCTTGTTGTTGTTATAGGTGAGTATGTGTGTGTGTGTGTGTCTCTCGAAGAGAAACAAAGAGTGTAGAGAAATGAGAGAAAGAGAAGGGAATAGAGAAAAAGAGTGAAGATGAGAGAGAGAGCCACAGAAAAGAGAGTGAAGAGAAGGAAAAGGGAATCAGGGGGACAAGTGTGGGCCCTAGTGGCTCACAACACAAAGCCAAAAGAGACGAAACGGGAAAATATCTCGCAAACGTAAAATTACCGAAATACCTTTAACGCTTCGAATTCCATAAAATTAAGGACGTGTTGTTACATTACCTTTTCTTTGAGATGTGTTATCCACATCTCTTTTTGCTTCCTACATTGTTTTTATTTTATTTTATTTTATTTAAATTTTAGGTCGTTAGATCAAATGATATAAATTAAAAAAAATGTATGAAAGTAATAGGTGTGTAAATAGCACCACCCTTCTTTTTTCTCTATTTTCTCTCTCCTTCCTTTTTCTCCCTCTATCATCCATCACACACACTCTTCCGTTGTCACTATGCACACATGGTGCACAACTTTCTCTTCCACCACCTCCTAAATCAAGGACACCATCTTTGTGTCATCCTCACAAACCTAGAACACCCATGCTTGCCTCAAACTTTCTAACCAAAACACGTGCGTGTTCTAAGGTAGGATTTTCATTCTTGAATCACTCAATTTGGTTGAGAAATGAGGAAGTTATGACAATTTGAAAAATATGCAGAAAAACCTGCGAAACCTTATTTTTGGCAAGTTTTAGTGACTCATGCGAGCTTTTCTGGCCAACGACAGACAACCGAGGCTCGAGGCCACCACCATTGGACTCACCTAGAGGTTAAAGCATAATACAGTCATCAAACCAGACGTTGGAGCATGCACGATGACACAGTTAACGCAAAAATTCTAGCGAAAATCTATATAATTTTGTGAGTATTTTGCATTTAGGCTCTAATTGGCATGGTCTGGCTCGATCGCTTCAAATTGGGTCAAATCTGATCGGATCAGACCATACCGGGCTCGGATCGACATTGACCATCCAATGTTTGTTGTTTTTTTGACGAAATCGGCTTCAAGACCCTTTTAGGGTATCTCGACACGCTAATTCTGAATTCGCACTCCATTTCTTCCAAATCAATTGTTTCAACAGAGTTTTGCTAATAAGTAATTTTATATGCTTAGGTGCGATTGTTATCGGTGACATCGTTCTTTCTATGTTGAGCTGCTTTTCGTGGATGGAGTATATGTAAGTGGACACTTTTTCCAAATGCATGATTTTATATATTACTAGATATGTGGGGGTCCAAATGAGATAGGAGTGAAGATTAGAGATCACGAAGCACCAAAGAGTGAACATTATCGTTATCTTCAATTTATCTTGCAAAAGAACAAAAAATTGGTTGGAGATCCCAACCATAAAATACAATTTGGATGGATGAAGTGGAAGAGGGCATCATGTGTGTTGTGTGACTATCATATGCCACTAAAACTCCAGGGAA